AGGTACCCCGTGAGACCTGAGGTACCCCGTGAGACATGAGGTACCCCGTGAGACATGAGGTACCCCAGGAGACTGAGGTACCCCGTGAGACCTGATGTACCCCGTGAGACATGAGGTACCCCGCGAGACTGAGGTACCCTGTGAGACGTGAGTTACCCCGCGAGACTGAGGTACCCTGTGAGATGTGAGGTACCCTGCGAGATGTGAGGTACCCAGTAGAGCAGTGGGCAGAAGTGAGAGGTCCTCATTCTTTCAGAGCTTATAATTTCAAGGGGGAATGCAGACAGTGAGTAACAAAAAGGTATGATGACTGAGCAGGGTGAAATGGAAGTCAGGGTTCTGTGTAGAGGACTACTGAGGGCTGGAAATGATCAGAGTTCACTTCAGACAGGGTGAGCAGCAGAGATCTCGATGAGCTCCAAAGGCAAAGCTGAGATCTGAAGGGAGAGAGGGGTCTGGCCATGTGCAGAGCCAGGGAGCAAAGCTGTGGGCAGAGGGAAACAGAAAATAAAACAGAAACCAAAGCAAAACTCCAACTGGAAGGAAGTGGGTGGGGCGAGCGGGACTTGGCCACATGGGAGTCCTCAGTCGCTGCAAGACACTCCCTAGACCACACAGGGCTCGGAGCAGGACCTAAGGGGGAGCTTCATGATGGCCTTGCTTTCTGGATGTTCGGTTCACCAGGCTCAGCAAACAAAGACGGTGCTGCTGCAGCCCCAGTGATATCATCTTGTCCCATCGTACTTGACCCGAGCGTACAGACACCTGCCAGGGTCCCTGAAGTCCCAGTGGCTGGACTCCATTTGCTTGGACTAAGTGAGGAGGCTGTGGTGGTGGGCAAGACCAACTCAGAAGGAAGTGACTTGGAGGTCGCTGCCAAAAATCAAGGCAATCCATAGAATCTAAGGAAAGAGTCCATTGATGGCAGAAAGCACGGAGTCCATTGATGGCAGAAAGCAGAAAGTCTCCAGGCACTCAGACTTCTAGACCAAAAGTCTAGCACAAGCATCCTTAGCAGCTCTGAAAGGGATCCTGGGGGCCCTTGCTGAGAGTGCTGCTGAGAATGGGCATGGGCTGCAGAACAGCCTTCACCCGAGGGGCCACCTCTTGGTCCATTCTGAGCACTAAGGAATTAAGTGACATAACCAAAGCCCTTGAACACTACCTACTGTATGATAAAAGCACAGTATATGTCTTAGTTACTTTTCTCTTTGCTTAAACAAAATAACCAATACTCCAAGTCAGAGGAATTTGTAGAAATTTCAGTCTGTAGTCAGCTGGCTTCAAGGCAGGGTGGCCTGGTAGAAGGGGAGTAGGGAGGAAAAATAGTCTACGGCAAAGCAGAGCAGGCAGAGGGCAACAGTCAAGCACAGAGGCGGCGGGACTGCTGTATTTCATGCAGAGGCTATGCACCCTTGGGCAGGGCCACCCATACCTTAATCTCAGCATCACTCTCTAGATCCAGCCACCTCCAAAATGCCCCACCTATGACTACATGATGCTCTTTGGGGACATCTAAGCCACAACCGTAAATGTAAATGATTATTAAAATTAAGGAACTAGGTAGGAAGGGTAGAAGCCCACAGTTAGAGACCTGTAACAGTAAGAGGGCTAGAGTGCTGTAATAATAAGTCCACATAATATAATAGCCAGTATGTGAGTTTCTGCTCCAAACCACTGGGACTCATACCCAGGTTTTATGACCCATAAATGGAGGGACTTGAAACAAGCTGCCTAAACTCTCTGGACCTCAGTTTCACTACCTTTGAAATGGAGACTAACAAGAACACCTACATACATCATTTAGTTGTTGGGAGGAGTAAATAAATTACTTTCATAAAGCCCAGAGAGTGGCATGTATAAGCACACAATGATGTTTTGGTCAACAATGGACCACATATACAACAGTGTTACCATGAGATTATGCCACCCCGTGATGTTTGTAGTCATCCCAGTTTATGCAGATACACCCTATGATGTTCACACCAGGAAACTGATGATGAATTTTCCAGAAATGTCCTATAGGTGAGTGGCACTTGACTGTATGTTCTGAACTTGTTGGCAATCCTTTAAGGTAAATACTAGGAAGTTGTGGATAAATGGGAGAAGAGAAAATTGGGTTGTTTGGTAAATTTTTCATGCTCTTTGCCCCACAGTCTCCTTAGTTGGTCTTTACAAGTTTGTCCCCCTGCTATGTGTTCCAAGGTTCATGATCACATGGAAAGAAGCAGGGTCTCATTTGCTAAGTCTCAGTGGGAAACATTAAAATGAAAGACAGCTTTTAAATGCTTCAAGGTAGAGCCTGAGCCTTGGATTTGAGAGCCAGGCAGGTGGTGGCTCTCTGTGGCCAAGCAATCATTGAGACATCTGGGCTCTCTGGTTTTTTTTTTTTTTTTTAGGCTCAGTTTCCTCATAGTCCAAATGACCATGATGCTGCCTTGCAGGCATGCATGGATGCTTTGATGAAAAAAAGCAATAATGTGTGTGAAATGTGCTAAGCATAGAGCCAGCTCTGCCCTGACTTGCTTGGGCAGGTGGTGAATGGTTTGTTTGAATATATGATACCTATCTCCTTTCAGCTCCTCTCTCTCCTTATTTAATACAGCTCACCAGACCACTGTGTGCTTGTAACCATTCAGCAGTGGGAGCAAATAACACGTCATGGGTAGATAAATCATGGGATCTGGAAAGAAGTTGCCCTTGCTTTTCTGCCTCCCCCCACCAAGATGTGAGAAGCTGTGGCCCACCAGTTCCCCTGCACATCCAGTCCCCTCACCCTTGTGCCCGCCGAGCATCTACATGAACTCCTGGAAGCCACAGGGTACTTCTAGGGAGCCGAGGTCACTCAAGTCTGGCTCATGTAAAAATAATATGGAGAGATTTTTAAGAAATCCTCCTGCCTAGGTCGACCCCCAGAGATCACAATTCCCTGGGCCTGCAGGGGGTCAGGTACACACCCTAGTCATTTTCAAAAACTTCCACGTAGTTCTCTCTTGCAGTGGGGGCTGCGAGTCTGAGAGATGGAAGGAGCTTGCTCTGTCAGCTGGCCCAGGCCTCTGATCCGCACTCATCCTTTCCTCCCCTCCCCTCCCCTTTCAAGTCCACATCTCTTCCTGTGACCTGAAACATGAAAGTAGCTCTCAAGAAAAAAGCTAGCCCTGAGTGGCCACTCTGCACAGCCAAGTCCAACGCCTTGGTGCCAAACATCATTCTTATGCAACCGTGAAGCACAGAATGCTGCATTCTTGGAATGCTTACCCAATAAGAGCTACACACACCCCTCCAGCCTCCGCTGACCCCACTCCTCAGCTGCACTCTCCTCAAAGAGGTAATGAGCCTCAACAACCCCTGAAGAATCCTGTTTTTAAAGAAAACTCCATGCATACATCTTTCCACATGGATGAGCCAACCGGCCTTAAATCGAGAATCACCCTTGTCTGGAATGAGATGCAAAAAGGAAGTGCCACAAAATAAAGGTGGAGGTGCCTGGTGCCGAGTAACCAAGAGTTAGCTTTATCGCAGCAGGCAGGCAATGTAATGAAGCATGACATTGTAATGTCAAGATTTGGCATGTTCTGAGTGCCTGCTTAGGCAAGTGCAGGGACCAGGGTTCGATCCCCAGCACCACAGGCCATCCCAGCCCCACCCTCAGCAGGCTGAGCGGGCCACCGAGTCCAGGCATGGTGTTACACTCCTATAATCCCAGTGCTGGGGAGGCTGAAAATAGAAGGATCACTGGGAGTCTGAGCTGCATAATGAGATCTTGTATCGAATACATAAAAAAGAAAAGATTTGTCATGTTAACAATATAGTGTTAACTCTTCTGTCCACAATGACATACAATTACTTTGGATAAACCTTAAAACAATGCATTT